CATTGGTGCATCAAATAGGGTACCTTAAATTGAAAAAAGGCCATTTGGCCATTCCTTGGAAAAATAACAATATGTTGTTTTCATGTCTTAAGAACACATTGAGATTTTATTTTTTTTAAATTCCTTTGTTAAAATAAATTGATAACATTTTACTTAAAAAATATTTTCTTATATGTGACAACGGCAATATTGAATAAAATGCATGCGTTGCTACGTGTATGCAACTTAAAAAATAACACAAGTTTACACATCGAAAGGTTCGGAAGGTTATTTGGGTCGGTTCTGTTTTCTGACGCAATTTTTCGTTCTGAATTCAAATCTTGCTCGAGGATTTTGAGGTATTCAAACATAAACGTGCAAGAAAAGCAACATCACGTCTTTAATATTATGCCACATCTATAGATATTTTTTTGTTCAATACTGCATGCGTTGACTTAAAGTATTTCCTATTTTCTTTAATTTCCATTTTAGATTGTGTCAATACGACCTTTTTTCTACAAGATATCACCAATTAGAGTTTAGTTCATACCGGACTATATAATTGACCTGATTTAACCTTCAGTTAATTGTTAAAATATTTGAAAAAATTCATTTAATTTTATGCCTGACTATGTTAATCATATTAATAAAAATCTGTATATCTCTAATGATTCGGGGTGCTTGGTTAACGTAAGTAGCTATGATCTTCGAGCTTTGAATAAATGTATCAATATGCATATATTTTGGCTATCACCTGAACGGTATTGGAATCGACTAAACTTTATTTCATCATTAATTTCCACTAAATATGTACAATCGAGTATGTGTATTAATGTTACAATACATAACGAGTAGGTACCAGTAGCAAGAACTACCGAGACACATAGGTTAGCTTTTATTTTGGGTAGAACTTATTTGGCCCTTTATATTTGGCACATAGGTATATTTACTTCAGTATGTCTTTTTGTAGATAAGACTTTTTCAATTATACGGATATCACTGATATTCCAATATGTAAGTACATGCACCTTTGTTACCACTATTAAACAAATAAAATTGCAAATTAAAATTAAAATTTCATTTGTAAAATAAAAGAAAATATGTACCATTTAAATTAAAAAAAAAAGTTCTATATGCAGGGTGTTCCACTTTAGAACTGTTTCAGAAAGGACTTGAGAACGAATATCTCTATAATTTCTTGGATTTTTATGCTATGAATTTTTCTTATTGGTCTAATTAGATTTCAATTGTAGAGTGAGATTAATTTACTCCCTCAAATGCAGAACCGCCTGAGACAAAAATTATGAATCTGTTACAATATTAAATAGGACATATGAGATATGAATTAAAAAGTCAGAAAAAAAAACTAGCAGGCACACATCAAAAATATCATTGAAATCAAAAAAACTTAAGAAAAATTAAAAACATAAAAAAATAACACATCTAGAACTGCATGCATTATTTGTAATTTCTAAAAATATAGATTTTTTTTTAAATATCATTTATCTCGTGATATATAAAAACTATTAGAAAACTAAGGAGAGGGATCACGAAAAGGGCTTATCGTTATTCAATTTATTTATAACTTAAAGCAACACATTTGTTTAATGTTTCTTGTAAAATAGCAATAGGCCTTTTTAGTAGTAACGTTACATACGCTAAATAATAGGCAACCCCAATCGTCATGAAGAATTTCTCAATATTTTTACTAGATCGATTTTAGACCTTATGTACTTTGGACAAATGTGCCAAAAAATGTCTTCTGTGGTCATGACCTTAAATATCCCGATATTCTGCCAATATGAGAAATATTTAAGAAGTTTCAAACCGCAAGTAACAAACTAAAAGAATTATAGAATTTATGTATATAAATTTATAGAAAAATATTGACTTTTGTAGTAATTAATAAATTAAAATTATATCAATGTTACTGAGCATGCGCATTAAAGATAATTTCATGTAAGCCAAGTAGCCTCGCAACTGGATATCATTCAAGAAAAGTTTCGTTATAGTTAAGAGTGAGTCTATAATAAACCACTTGAAGAAAAAAAACACTTGATAAACACACTGATACAGCACAACACCAAGAAAAATTATAAAAATATTTAATAGAACTAGAAAGTACCAAGATTAAACAAAAGAATAGAAAATACGCTAACGACAACAGCGATGATAATATATCAACAAGTTCTCACCTGCGTATGAGGCTATTCTTTCCGAGCATGCGCGTTAGGAATAACACGGCTAATGTTAAATTTTTACTTTAATTAAATTTAGGAATGTTCTTTTATATCGTTTTTTGTAAGTTTTAAGTATCTATTTTATGAAACACGTGTTGGTTGTTCTTAAATATTTCTAAATCTCCATAAAAAGAAATTAATTTGAAGTTGTCCATTTCTGTAGTATCTATTGGTATGTATAGTACACAAGGGTCAGATTCGGTTTGTACAATTTCGACTATGACAATTTGTGCGGGTTGCCTGAATATGTGACGTTACACCAAAATAGTCTATTGTGATAATCATGGAATAGTTAGTTAGAATATGAATACATAAACTTCCTTTATATAAAAAGTATTGGTTAATTATTTATATGAAAACAAACCCTAAAGCTTTAAATTTGAAAACTAAGAAAAAGCTCAACTTTAGAAAACAAAAAATATTTTGTACACAGATAGATACAACAATATTGCATATCTTGTGCAGAGTTTCTATTTTTGGCAATACAGTTGCAGGCTCGGTTGCAGGCAACCTTGGAAATAGTTGTTAGTTTAGAAGCGGATTGGTTTCACCAAATTGTTTACTAAATATTTTTTGAATTTAATTGCGTCATATGCGTCGCAAAATTGCTATTATTAAAATTATTCCAAGTGGTGAAAAACAACGAATACATTAAATACCTACGTATTTCAAGTTGTCTTGTTCGAAATGGACAAAATATTTGTGGACGCGATTTAAACAAAGAAATAATAACAAAGTTACTAATAAAAAAAATATGTGAATTGCGGCGTACAATATGTTTGTTATTAGAAGGTATGGATAAGTAAACGATATCGCATGGTGTCTAAAAAAAATCAAGTAATAAATTTAAAAGATATAAATCCGTTATTGGTAAAAAGTGGGAAAAATTAGCTATTATTATACGTATATATACCTACTTAAAAATTGTTACTATCGATTTCAAAATGCGATTATACTTGCGCGTGTCATATTAGAATTATTTAGGTTTATTATTTAGGTATTTTATAGAATATGGCCAAAACTGCTAATATTTTCGTTTAATTTAGATTTACCTATTTTACTAGTGTTCCTTTATTGCATCGTTTTGGGAATATGTAAGTTTAAGTAGCATACAATAAATGTTTCTTAATTAAAATTAAAATGTATTTTGTACATTTATATAAAGATGTCCTTTGTTTCATTAACTTTTCTCTAGATGTTTAATAATTATAGGTGATTTGTTATACCTATACATTAATATCTTGTATATTAAAGATATAAATGCTACTATTTCTTAAAAAATAAAAGCAAAGGCTAGGGAAAATAAATTATTAGATATCTTGACATTTAGCTATGTTATCGATGTTCTTTTATAGCGCCGTTTTGGAAATATATTGATTTGAAGTAGTATACCATGATTTATTTTAATGAAACTTAAAATGTAGGTATTTGTCATTTATACAAATTCTTCTTTTATGAACGAATAAACGATTCTAAAGATGTTACTAGATAGTAGTAATGTTACAGGGATAATTGCAAACATTAATGGTCTTGGAAACCCTGAATGAACGACAATATATTCCAATTTATCATATGAAAACTGAAGAAATGCATTCACTTTTTTAAATTTTACAATTTAATGAGTTGAATCAATGTATTTAATATATTTATTTGACTATTCCTAACGGAAACGTAATATTTGGTATGTTTTCACTATTTTAGATAAATGATGTTATAACAGCAAAATGTCTAAAATGAACCTATATAAAGTAGTTAAATTAATATAGATAATAAAAGGACATAATTAATTTGTGAAGTGAGGAGCTTGCAAAAGAGGAATATGGGTGTAGCCACTTGACAAACAAAGTAAATCCGTTACTTTTATTCACCTTTTCCATAAAATGTCAGTAATAACTGCAAAAAATATGAAAATTGTTATTATAGAAAATGAAATATAATTTAGAAAAACGTTTCTTTTTGTTTCCGTCAATCGATTTTTTCAAGCGAATTATTTTTGAATAAAAATCAATATATAGAAAATGTAATTAGAAATTATAGGCAAAACCCAGTTGTTTCGGCGTTGTCTGCTGTCAAGTGTTAAGCTTTTTTGCACAAAAAAACAATACCAGTTTATTTGAATCTGGCAGACGCCACCATTTTGAAATGCATAATTCTTTCGCGAGCCATAAAAAATATGTTTATAAAAAAACCGGATTGCATTAGCATAATTATCTTAAACAATTTTTCATTAAATCGAGGCTTGCGATAATTACAGTCAGCAGGTTATCCTTTAACAAAAGGTCAGACTTAATTTTTTGTCCCAGAAAATAAAAATCCAAATGCGTAGGTATGGTACAATGCGAAAACTAACAACTGATGCGGTTTACATTTCTCGCGTATATGGTCGAATGGAAATTCGTTATGGGCTGATCGGCCGATAATAATGAATGATGGGTGGACGCGTCCGCACAGGAGCAAATAGCGGGCGCAATAAGACGGATGGACCCTTGGCTTTGTTTTGTTCGTTTCGTTTCTTTTGGCATTCCGGACTTGGTGCAGTTTATTTGGTCGGATTGGATTCGAGTTTCGTTTTTTAATTCCCCTTGCAAGGAAATTGGAGTGCGCGCAGGCAAAGCAGAACAACAAGAAGCAGCCGTGTAGGAGCGACGTTCCGACGGTGCCGGCGACGACGCGGGTCAGTGAAACTCTGCGTCTGGAGTGCGTGTGCAATAAGCAGGCGGGTGCGAAGGAGGGTGAGGAAGACCGAACCGAAGGGGTTGATTTAGCCTTATTCTCCCCTACCTTGCGAGATGCAGTACATGATCTGGCGAGGCACTTTGAGGCCGGCGGCTAGACAGGCGGCGAAGGACGCCGAAAAGTTGATGGCCATGGCTGGGTGGTTGCATGGAGCACTCAGAGTCACTGTGAACTATTCCACTAGCACATGGGGCACTGCACTACGCGCGAAGACAACAGCGTTCGGCGGCGTTAGCGGTGCACCAGCATCCTTTTGGGACGCGAACAGAACCGGAGAAGAGCCTTACATTCGCCGGACGGTGTCGTTGCATACAATTTTGCCCAAGTTTTAGAGTGTCCGTGGAAGTGGGGATGTAGACGACTGCCGTCGACCTCATGGCTCGCCGCTGCGATCTCCGCGAGATGAAGCCGCGCTGTTGCCGCCGCGCTCGTCTGGCTGCACCTCCCCCGCCCCCTTCTATGCACGTGCACCGCGCCGGCTTGCTGCACCCGAATCAATATCACACATTATCACAAAAAACTGACCCGACTCGAGCGGGGCTTTGCACCTTGCAGCCCGCCCTCTCTCCCTCCTGCACCGAGACGCTCGAGCTAGACGGCGGTGCAGACGGTGCCGCCACCGACGCCGCCGACGCTGCCGTCGTCCTCGGCGCATTTCCTAAACCGGGAAAGCCCCGACGGGTTCGCTGCCGCTTTTACTACCTCCGCTCTTTCCGACCAGCGAGCATTGCTTTGCGAGACGATGGCTCTTTATTCTGTTTTAATGCCCACATCGACGACTGTTATGACTCACGATCTCCACTAAACTGCGAATTAATCGGGATAATAACGTTTCTTTGTTTTTCGAGATGATACTTAACTAGAAGTAAACGAAAGAGCTTCTTCTGACTATCGTATTTGTCCATATTCTAAGATACAAGAATTATTAAAAAAAATCAAGTTCAAGTTTTGAAATATTGTCTGAAGCCATTTATTTGTGGCATGGTTTTCATTTTTTCTTTCTTTATTTTTAGGGTATTTTGTCACCTGAGAAAAAATTTTAAAAATTGGTAACAGCAGATCGATCTGTCAAGTGTTAGCATTTTATGAAAATAGTTTTCCCTAATTAAAACATCTCGCACTGAAAAAGCAGACAAATAGGAAATATTTAAAAAGGTCGTTAACGTTTCGAAAATCCACCGTTTTCATCTTCTGAACTTTTTTTTACACTTGGTTTTAATAGCATTGACAGTTTATATTTGTTTGCTTTTGTGTTCCCTAGAAATATCATATGATGTTTATTCTATTCTTCTTCTTCATCTTTTATCGCTTCATCGCTGTATTATCTTCCTTTTCCAAAATTTTAGCCGACCCATTGAATAATATGAGCGTTTCCCCTATCGTGATCGCAAATTTTAGATTTTTTCAAATTCTCGTTTTTTAATGTAATATTTGTGTTCATCTATTCTAAAATTCACAGGTCGAGAAGTCTCTCCAACATAATATTTACTGCAACCACAGGGTATGTTAAACTGAAAGAAATGCGTTTTATTCTTTATTAGAATTCTATATACTATTATAAGATCATGGTATACTATATGTGACAGTTAAACAGGTGAATATTGGATATAAAACGCGTATTGCTAGCACAGTTGTATAGTGACTATAAACCTTATTCTTTATTAAATTATCGTATAACTAGTATACAACGTTTTTTATACCCTTTACGAAATAATAGCAATAACTGTTATTAAAGTGTTCCATATCGTTATTAGAACATCTAGTACTGGTTATAAGTTTTATAATAATAAATGTATTAAACTGTTGTATACTCTGTATGAGTTAAACACATATGACATTAAGTTTTCAAAAATTTTATTGGATAACTGTAATTACAAGCTAAGGTTCTAATGTAAACATACATAAAATATACTTTTAAGCATTAAAAATGATGACAAATCGCTCCCAAAACTGTCCAGTTTATTTTCTTAGCAACGATGCACCCGTATTTTCTTGTATTACATGAGAATTTGCACTATAACTCTTCCACCTTAAGAATGAAGCATCCCCAGAAAGGTTGAGCTTCTTTCCATATAATTTTATTTCCTCTGGTTGATTGACTTTATACCCATGCTTTTCTTTGTCACCGTTAACCTTCTGTTTCTCCATCTTATGTAAAACTTAACATCAGTGATTTCTAATAGGACCTACAAAATAATAATTTTTAAGACTTAGACAAGATTTACATTTGAAAAAACAAAACAATTACAAGCCAAAAAACAGTTAGATACTTACATAATAATTTTCCATTTCACACAACGCGATATGATCATGTATCCCACAAAACATGTGCATATACTGTCCATTTTCATCAAACTAGACGTGTGTAAGTCGATGCACAGCGGACTGTTGGAAATTTTACGATTGTTGTATTTTCTCTTCTTGAGTAAAGATAATAAAGACGTTGTGGTTTTGTGTGTTTATTTTGACAGTGATTGAACATCTGTGGACAATAAAAGTTGACTGTATAAGATAGTTGAGTACTCTTCTGCTTCGGATTCGGATACTGGTCTTTATACAACAAATCTTCCCTACTATACAATTGGAATATAAAGTCTATAACATCTAATAATGTATAAGTAATTCATTATAACCTTTATTTCATAGATGCATAAGGTGTATTAAGCACCTTCCAGTTAAACTGATTGAATAATGAGTATGGAGATGATTGCTTTTTTTTAATAAAAGTTATATATTGGTTATAAAAGTTTTAATATGCGCTATACATATTATTCTAGATAAACAGTTTAATAAACCCATTTCTTTCAGTATATAAAAGCAATTTTTTTGAAATACGAAAAACATTATTTGGGCGCGTCTTTGATAATAAATTCCGCAAAGTATTTATTATGATAATAATATTTTCTATTAAACAGTTTACGGAGTTGTTGGTACAAAAAACAATTAAATCCAATAATAAAAATTATTTATTTATTTCCTTAACTCCCTTATATTTTTTACGTTTCTATCTAGCAAAAATTAGTAACCAGTAAGTTTTAGGAAAAAAAAACTTATTACTGATATTTTTGAGAATTTATCAATGAACTTCAAGTACATAAAATATGTATTAGTTAGTGCAATTATTATTTAATAGCATTTCATTGCACTTAATAAACAATAGTATAGATAAAAAATTGAATAATATTTCCCAAAATTATACAGGGTGGGCCACCAATAACGCCTCGTTCGCTAGGGACCAAACGGCAAATGTTATAGAAACCTGTTTAGGTGGGTACGTGTTGGTTGATTACGGCTACATTTTGAAAATATTTTGAAATATATGGGGTTTCCAGGAAAAGTTTATTTGATTCCACAATATGTAGTTATAATAATAGATATTATAAACAAATTCTTGGCATTCCAATCAAGAAATATGTAGATGATTTAATAGTGAGTGTCCCGCAAAATTGATCTATTACTACAAACTTTTAACAAATATGACCAACTATAGCAATTTACCATCGAAATATAGGATCACCTTAACAGGGATAGTAATCAGGGATCACCTTAACAGTGATAGTAACAGTGACAGTGACACCTTTCCAGTTAAACGAATTACAACAATTGTAGCTATCCAGCAAAATTAGTAAGTAACCATTTTAAAATACTACACACAACAGCAATAATAATCAGGATAGTAACAATTCTAAAAACTATTCTTATTCATTGTTCTAATAAATTAAAAAAGGTTTCTCGGCAATACAACAAAATTGACATTTAAGAATCAACTAACAGTAGGCAAATCATTTTAATAAAATTAAAATTAAAAGATGATGCATTACATATGTCAGAAGTAATTTATTGCATTCCCTGCATAGATCGTCATAAAAATCAGGTAGATGCCTGAAAGACCGCATTACATCAGATAAGAGTGATATCAGATGAACCAAACATAGAGGATATTTTCTGAAAATGACATATGAAAGAAGATGAAATAATAAATTCGAAAAAAGATATTGGAGGTTTCAACATAATTTACACATCTTTTAGGAGAAAAAACAGAAATAATGGACAACATACAGACACCTCACTTAATAACATCATGTGAATTATTTTAGGTAAAGTAGTTTCCTATAAATACAAATTCGTTTCAAAAGTTTTTATTATATGCTTATCTTCTTATTTTCCCACAATATCCCTTTCGTGAGGCATCTCAGTATCTGACTGAATTTTATATGTAACAATTGTAATTTTAATCTCTTTTGTGACAATTGGTTAATTTTTCATTCCTTTATATATTTTATTTCGTAAAACTTTGGTATTTACCATTTTTTCCTAGATAGAAAGGCAAAAAATAGGTCTGGGAGGGGTGATGTAGATTTTTATGTAAATGGGTCCTATACACTAACCTTCAAATACTATTTATAGGTGAAAAATGAAGAAGAAAATAATTACATTAACAGAAATAACATGACCTAAAGCTGATGGCTGGTGGCCGTCAGATGAATATGGAAAGACAAATAGGAAACCGAAGGAGGATAATATTATAAGTATTTGGCTTAAAATTCTTGGATTTGGTTTGTATTAAAATCTTGATTAAAATTTAGGTAAGTTTAATGCCTTAAGGGCTGTGATGTCAACGAAATTATATTTCCAAATATAATTTTTCCCAAAATCTTTTATTAAAAAGGTTTTTATCTCTCTCTATCTTCCCATTAAAAATATATAAAATTATATGCTTCCATCAAGTCTGTTACTGACCTTACAGTTAATTTCGAATCTTTCCGAGCTTCGCGAAAAATCGGAATCATATAGGTAATTTTTTTTCCATTGAGTATTCATTTAAAAAAAAAAATTAGTAAGCTTGCACAAGAATAATTAAAACATGTCAGTAATGAATATAAACACTGAAAGTATCTTGTTTTCTACGGGAATACCTACTGCCAAAATCAGCAAATATACACATCGTCTGTTAGTGTTTAATTTCTCTATTCAGATCGTTTAAGATCATATATTTGGAAGGGAAGATATATTGAAAAACATTTTAAATATCTTAAAAAAAGTAGTCACATGATGTAAAAAAAACATGATTTTCAGAAAAATATTATAAATTCGATGACGCCAGAGCCCTTAAGGTGGCCATATTCCCGGCCG